AGCCATTAGAAAGCTAGAATCCGTGGAACGCAGGGTATACTGCCACTTCCCACGACCATGCGATGACCCCTTGATCAAGAACTCCCTGGCAGTTTGGTGAACGAGGTAAACCTTGGAATCGATAATCCGTACGAAAAGTCCACACAAATTTTTCACCGTTTTTTCAATGGCAGAATAAAGATCCCCTTCGATATCTCCCATCGTCTTGTGATGCCGACTGATAGTAAATGCAATGTTCATTTCTGCCAACGTAAGAGGCCTTGCAGCGCCTACCACTATATGCAGGATTCGCCGGGCCCGGTCGGGCTGTGGGCTTTTATCCAGAATCTTGGTGTAAAAATCCGCGAGATTACCCGGGGCAGCAGAGACAATGTTAGTAAACTCCTTCCGTGAGCCCCCTTCACAATCCTTCAAGATCTCAAGAACAAGGGAAACCCAAAGGAATGTCCGGTCAGCGGACGATTTGAGGAGTTCGCGTAAATATTCCAGTTTTCCGGGGTTTTCCCAGACTAACTCGAGCTCCCTTATACCATTATCTATAACGCGATTAACATCAGTGGTAATGGCGTCAACCTCGTCCTCCCCCCTCAGTCGGATGGTTGTTGCGCGTGCGTCAAGTTCTTTCGAGATATCGTGGTAGGGGCGACCTGTAACCAAGAATTTCAAAGTTGTATTGGAACCACTTGATTCCGCGAGGTGTGTTAAATGATGGAGGAGCCGAGATAGTGTCTTTCCTTCGCACTCGTCCAAGCCGTCAAGCACACAGATTACGTCGCCGGTCCCCGCGTCGGCTACCGCCTTGACCAAAATTTCCCACAACGTGTCGACCTCCTCGGTAAATTTCTTGCCTTTAGCTCTAAACACTTCCTCGGCATACCTACAGAGGGACTTTCTCTGGACAAAAAGTTGATGTAGGATGGCGCAGAGGGCAAATGTTGCGCTCCTCTGTTCGTCGTTGTCATCTTTAAAGAAGAAATAGCAAACGATTGTGTCCCTTTGGATTTTCAGATGGGCTACGAGAAACGATGCGATTACGGACTTTCCACAGCCCGGGTCTGCGGATAACCAGAGGAGGCCTGACTCTCCGTTTTCGAACCAGGCTTTGTACTTTGAGTGCTCGGTGACCCAAGTACAAGTTCCCTCTACCGGGTCCCGGACCCGACGCCGGTGCGACTCGTATTCAGACGTGTATAGGTACAGCATAACCTCGGCGCATTCCTGGGGCGAGCTCGTAGCCAAGCAGTTCTGGTAATTGTTGATGTAATTATGGCTGACGTTACCGGAGTTGATGTGATTGTTAGAACGGGAGTTGCCGCTATAATCACCGTGAATATTGTTACCAGCCGCAGTGCTAGAGACACTGCTACGGATATTAGCGATTATGGGGGCAAAGTGAACACAATCAATATTTCAAGAGCATACCGTTGGACCAAGGAATGGTCCTCAGAATGGCTGTTCGATTGTTGATTATCCATGCTATCGATAGATGTTTAAGTTTTCCGAAGTTGCGTGAGGTTGGGTGTTGAGGAAGCTCGAATCTTGTTTTCCTGATGCGCGCAAAGAAAATTTTCGACCAAGCGAAAAGTTATGAAAGTCGAAGGGTCGGAGAGCACGGAGAATACATACCCAATCCTCAAGGTAATGGACTCGAGTACAGTACATTACTTAACAGTGGGCGCGGAACTGCGCGCTACAGCTACCCCGCTACCCAACCATTACTGTCACATCAGCCGCTCCCACGCCGGTGCCTTGACAACAAGGCCACGGGTAGGTAGCCTTTCACGTTATCGGAATATACCGTGGATCCTCAAAACCCACCAATAGATACATTTCTATAAGTGGTCATAATTTCACACCCCCGCAAGTCATAATTTTCACTCACCAATCACCAAACCCTGATCGGTGCGACTAGGAAAAACCCAACTGAAAAATACCACATCAGTTTGCTTTTTCCAGAGTACTGGAGGGTTAGGTGCTGGCAGGTGTTACCTTTTATCCCCATCCGATCAGCTATCAAATTACCAGCGCGAACTACGGAATACACCCCCGATAGGTTGAGTTCGTCAAGCTGACAGGATTGGGAAAACCAGCTAATGGGACTCGACAGTGTCTGCCGACTCAGTCTTTGCCATGTGAGGATAACACTCCTTGTGAGTGGGATAAGTACGGGGATTTGACTCCTGTCAGAAGTGATGGATTAGTGGAGACATTCAACCATGGGTTCAGAAAAAAATATTACCTTTCGGGCGAGGTAAAGGGGTTAATGGAATAACAAACCGTTACTTGCACGCGGTTATCCGTGATACTATCATACTACAAATATAGGTTATCTCGCCAAGAAGGCCAAATTAATCATGAGTTTTCACAAACACTCGAGACGCACTGGCTTCAAAACATACCGGTATCAGAGCTATTGATTACTCACACAGACACAGCACACCCGTAAGGGCAGGTTCGCTTCGCACCTCCAACTTCTGATCTCTTAGCAGCCGCACAGAGTCATAATTGTTTGATAACACCGTACAGTAATACTCAAATGTGGTAAAATATGCTCCAGTAACACACCAAACTCACTATGCAGCGAAGAAGAAATATTCCTATTAATAGGACAATGGATTTGGCACATGGTTCAGCGTAAATGACATACTGAAAAAGCGACATATCCAAACTTCAGCCGCAAGGCCTTAAGCCGAGTTTTGATATCAAGTCAGGGAGAGGGATTTGTGTAACGAGGAGCACAGAATTGCTATCCCCGAGAGTTCAGGTTGGTGCGACGGAGAGACAGCTTGTAAAGACCGGGTTTAAGAGTTCTTTGGTAAAATTGGCTGGCTAAATACTCGTACACACTATTATCGTACAGTACCAAGGATCGCTATGTTGAGGTCAGGGTGGGTTTCGGGAGTGGTGGAGTGGGGTAGTGGAGGGGGGTCGATTCTACCTCACAATATCCGGCTCACTCGGCGGGATCATGATATTCTGATAAAGAAGAAAAGACAGCTGAAAACGCAGCACCCATCCCCCCCAGAATTGAGAGAGCTGTATAGTAAAATTTATGAGAATTTGTATGTCCTGAACGGAGCCACATTGGGGCTCGTAATTCCCCTTCACCGATCTTGGTACTAGTACTAGTACTGTACATGTACCAGTACCTCAGAAAAGTGCTGCCAACGCACTGTCCCCGGCAGCCAGTCAAGAGTTAAACTGCCATAAGCATTTTAACCGCCGAACAACTGGTACAAATAACAGTGTGGAGGTTCCAGAAGTTAAGAATGTTCATAACACTTCGCACGAGGTGGAGGATGAGAATACTCTCGTGGGTTTCGTCGATTCCGGTGAATTTTTAATATATATTTTTTACGATCCCGACACCAAGATAAATCTTTCTCCTCCTCTCACTTGATAGGTACAGTATGCATACCCGCAACCAATCACTCGCCCTTAGCTTCAGACACGAGCAAATACAGCGCATGCAGACCCAAGCGCGGCATCCGAGTACATTAACGCCCAATCACCCACTGCGCATGGGCGTCCGCAAATTTGCAAGGGCTCGTGTACTGTACAGTACCTACTTGACCCTCTACCATACAACTCAGGACAAGGAGGCTCGGGATAAAAAAGCTCAAGTAACAACCGCCGCACACCTCTCTTGCCAGTATGATGTTTCAAATTCGCGGCGGGAGTACCTTGCTTTACGAAGCTCATATCGAGTTTAGCACCCACTGTTGGAAACCGGTAGGTGCTTCTCGGTATGCACTTGCGATATTTTCATTGTTTTGACAAAAGTATCGAATTCCAGTTGTTGGGAAATACCACTAGCGAGAACTAAAGGCACCGGAGATATGAGACCACTGCGATGGTCGATACTATGTACATGCGTAAAGTTCTGTGTTTGTGGGATAGATGACGTACACACCTAAGCACAAGACTGATCTGCCGGCGGGGATAGTACTTCAGCAACCGAATTATCCTTTCTTTTACTCGTCTTTGTCTTATACATTATTCTTTTCCTTTCTTCATCTCGTTTAGTTACCCAATAAAGACTGCATTCTCGTCCTAGCGAGTCTCATAGTAACCGAACGAATCTTAACACCAGTTATGACTCAGGCGTGCAGGGAGGCCAAATTGAGCGCCATGGAAGATAGGAAAGATGGCCGAAGATGATCCGGCATTTGGGAAGTATCGCTGGAAGCCTCTAGGGAGTCAGCCATTTTTTGCTTTGGATTTTGCTTTTCTTGTTATTTGGAAGTTATTGAGAAAGTTCGTTTCTCTTTTGTTAACCTGCGGGAGAGCACGAGAAAGTGGACATGCATAGAGGAGAGACGATAAGTGTGGGGATCGATAGAAGGAGGGAAATGATGGCATCATGTTCTGTATACTCCATAATTGCCATTAGAGAAAAAGGTGGACTTAGTCCTGAGCGGTCCTCACCCATACTCGAGTATCGTACTCGTTGCCATTCGGCGCCGGTACCGTATTAATTGCGCCTAGAACACATTAGCTCCCCCTCCCAATTTCCAAAAGGGGACTACTCAAGTATTCTCGTGCGCAGTTGAAAAAGAAAAGACAAGAACTGAAAAGTCAGATTGCTTATTCTATGCAAAGGAGTGGGCTCCATATGTCCTCTGGTCGGGGGCGAGGGTGGGGGGCACCAGGGTTGGGGGGACAGAGAAAGGTACTCAAGGAAATCCAATACCGACGTCGCATAGAAAACGCGGAGAAGAATAAAGAATAAAGAGATCGAGGGATGGCAAGGCATGGTTGTAAAGTTGGGAGTTGAGGCGAAGACCCGGGGAAATGTTGAGCATAGTTTAACGATCAAACCACGAGTGTTGAAGAAGCGACAGCCTTGTTCTATATTGTTGTCGACCTTTTGCGGGGTCGCCAGAAGTGGGGGACTAAATAGTTCAGGTCCACAGTAAGTACTCACTAGTCTTTGCCAAGAAAACGTCCATAACCCGAACTTGGTGGGGACTGTATCTCCAATCACCTCTTGCCAACCAACCACGGGCAGAAAGCGAACAATACAAGCACAGTCACGTGATAAGACTGGGGTGAAATCCTCAGAGCAGGGTAACAAAGAATGCATATTCATCACCCAGAGGTTTTCGTGGTGCTGCAATTGAAGTGTGCTCACCTCGCTTTTCCAGTCTCCCTCGCTACCTGCACGTCAAAGGATCGCCCTCAAAATGCATTCTGGGAAAGCTCGTAACTTCATATCGCAAGTATCCCCTTGGTATATAATATAACAAGTCTGGGAAACCCGGTTTAACTTTACTCAATTCCGAATCAGCCGAACCTGACAATTCTCAACCCCTGAAATCTACACACTCCGAAGCACCTGTCGAGACCCCCGCCCCAATGCTGGCCTGCCGCACCTAAGGCCGAGAGTCGACAACGAACGAATTCGCGTTTGAAATTGAAGGCATTCGTAGGAGTCGGTGTTTCTATTCTTATCCCCCACGCCCATCACTCCAGGCGGTGTAATATGAGGTAACTATGGTTTCAAGATCCTTAGTCACGTTCTCCCCCCGCGGGACCGAAGTCGCCGCCACATTTACGGAAGTGTTCCCTCGTGGACAGGAGGGTTATAATTTGGGGTCGGGACGAATTGCGGGCAGGGTTTGGGCGCCGCCTTCGAGGTGCACGCGGTCTTTCGGCTGCTGTATGCCTGAGAAACCTCTCTGCGTGGCCAATACCGGTAAGGTGATTGAATACAGTTGGCAGGCCCTGTAACATTACATCAGTATACTCCGAGAGCTATATCATAACCTTCAATATAATTTATTCATCATAGTCGCAGCACAACTGGGATGACATTAGGCATGGCACCGGTAGTCATATATGGACCCCGGAGAACCCGATGCAAGGTTACTAAATTTGATTGAATCAATGATATCGTGACATATTGTATGAAAGCATCCCGATCGCTTCGAGGATCACCATCCCTATTCCACGCATATTTCTCATCAGTCCACACACTTCATGTTGACAAAGAAAATGTCCGGAGAGCTTTCTTCCCAAATCCCAATAACTCCGGATATGGAAGGACACCAGAATATTCCCGCAACATCCACATCGGGTCACAGCCCACTTTCCTCCGCCGTGAACTCGGTCGCATAAATCCCTGCACAAGTATTAATTTGAAATGCAACAGCTGGGCGGGTCATAGGACCAGGGGGATGAAAAATATCATGGCGGAATCTGCGAATATGTATACCTTCGTCTTAGATGATGTTCCTGAGATGTCGGGTGAAAGGGTCTATAGGTGGCTCCTATTGATCGGGTTTCTTGCTGGGCAAAGACATCCACTAACCTCAGCCTATAGCGAGAATCCCTGGTGCGTTTCCGTTTTGCCCGAACTCTCCACAATAACTGTGCCATACATGTACTGTACTGTACGAGTACATGGGAACACGGTCTCACAGCGACTGCGGTTGTGTTCGAGCGGGTAACAGTTTGATCTGGATAGGTATCACACATGAGGGCTCTAATGGGTGCTCCTCTCAACTTGATCATTTTTAGTTTTAGAAAATGATTTATCCATATTTTGTTTTTTTCTGCTCAATCCACATTTTTTTAACCTTTGCAGCTATATCTTTTGCAACTATATCTGGCTGAAGGAAATATTACTTTCAACACAATTCTTTCCATTCATGGAGTTCTGCAGCGTTCCTTGTTTATTCACATGTTTTTCTTGACTAGTGGTTTTTAGTTGGCGCCGGAATGAAAGAGAATATGGTCGGTTGCCATATCATTCCATTTCCAGCTTTCTCGGTGCGCGGGTTCCTGGGAGAAGCCGTATCATGCTATCTTTCTCTCTGCCTTTACCCATTCCATCGCCACATTTTTCTCCACCCTCCCTATGCAGGTAAGATTGCCGAAATGGGATCTCGAGGAACATCCCGCCGTGTATTACCGTCACCGAGACAACATTGCCGCTCCTCGATAGCGCACGCATTCGCGCGTTTTGTCCCGAACCGGTTCACGACCTTCCTGTGGGGGAAGCCACGGTCGGGGACCCACAACGACCTACACCAGATACAAAATTCTCATACGCGGTGGTGGTGCAAGCGCATCTCTCCGTCGTTTCGTAATTCGTGATATAATGCGCTTCCCAAAGCATTGTTGGTGGAACTCCATATGAGCCTCTGACAGAGCATCAACCTGCGAGACTTCTGACACTGCTACTGGCATTACCACCTTGTGCACGCTGTCTCTCCGAATGTGCATACTCCGAGCTCCCCGGGAGGGACAAAGCGGGTAAAGAACAGCTTAATCACGATGGCACAAATGACTGAATACCTGCATATAGCTATCAAGTCCCCTTTTGATTGGCCGGGTGAGATTCCATGATTCCCGCCATAAAGAGCCATTTGGAAATGTCCCCCGATAGTTTCATTCATAATCGATAGACGGTCATAATTTAGATAATCTACCATGATAAGCTCCAGAAATCCAAGAAGTCGCTAACACAACACCCCCAACTTCCCGACAGAGGGGCTAAGACAGCCGTTAGAACATATTCATTGAGACCATTTACTGTATTCACGCACCCCATCAACAACCAATTTAAAATACGAAGCGCACCCCCTCTAAATCTCACGGCTAACATGGACATGCTATACAGCCCGGGATCTCCAAGACAGCCTATACCACCCACCTCTACCACCCTGCTAATGGCCCTAAGAGCCCGGGGCTCGACAAGCCGGGACCGACCGCCAGCTCGAGTTGCTACGATACCACCACACCTTGTGCCTGAACTATTCCCCTAACCGGAAAGGCGTATATCCTTTGATACATGCTCGCCAGCTATCACTCGCTCTCTCCCTCTCTCTATCCTTCCTTTGGCTTTAGTTGACCTCTGCACGAATACATCCACCTATCCTATGGCTAGCTGCCTGTCCTCCTGAACAATGTCCCTCCACACTTTCGGAGGTTTCTTTTGCACCATAACACGGCCATGCGCCTTATGCACAATCTTCTATCTTTCGGCAGAGCTTCCCTCAACACATATCATATATTTGTAGCTCTTTCTCAAGCAGGCCAAATTATTGCTTCTATTGTTTGTCTTATCGAACAATTAACCTGTTTCTCGGTTTTTCCATCATAATTCGTTCTACCGCATAAAACTCTTTCTCTATTATGCTTATTCTCATGAGATTCCGAGTATGGGGAAAGATACCCAACCGGAATGGTGCCGATGTGATTTCGTTCGGAACTTTTTACACGCGCCAGAAACCCTCTCACGGGAGGAGGATGTCTTGATCTATATTCATCGTCACTTTTCAACCCCGCGGAAAAACAGGTCGCCCTGTATGCATGAATAAGAAAACTCTCAGGTTCCTTCTCCCTCCTCTCTCGTCACCGCTTTCCCCTTGACGGCTCTGACCGCGCTCTCTCTGGTTCTCCGGGCTTCTCGGATATGCCGCTGAATGAGATAATTGAGGGCCGGTGATTCGCAACAATTCAGCTGGGGGGACATCAGGGTTATATTTATTTGTCAGGTTGTCCGGCATGTTCAGGTAAAGGCCAAGCGGGATGGCATAGTGTCGCCCGCCGCCCCCAGGACGTACGGACTGCCACGCTGAGAACACTGCGACACACCGGCTACGGAGGTGTGGGGTTGGTTGGTTGGCGATTCGATTGGGCCAGGAACAACCCAGCGGCCGACGCAGTAGATGCTGAGTACGGTACCGGCGAAGATGAAACCTTCATGGAGTCCGGGAATCCTCAGTAATTGTACCCTTCAATCGCTTACGGAGTGGACTATCAACAGCTACCGGACCGGATGGAATTCTTCCTGGAGCAAGGCTAGCTTGCGGCAGTTGGAATCTCCAAGCGATAGAGAGGAAACAATAAATGGGATTCATTCCTCACACAATCGTTGCCATTGCCATTCCTCGCATGGCCGGTAGCGAGGTATTGGGAGTCGGTTCAGGTGCCGTGGCACAAGGGTCGCTACGGAACTGGATGGTGATGCCGGCCTTGGCCGAGAAAGTCTCCGTTCAACTCCTTGCCTAGACGGAGCTGTTGATGGCTATGAAGTGCTCTCTATTCCGTTTCGAACTGAAAGGGCGTCCCCCGATCGGGAACCAAGAACTCATGATGAAAAAAGATATGGCCCCATATTTTATACCGGTGGCGGGTGATGGGATAGAAGTGGTAGGATATTGAGAGATCAGGATAGTGAGAATATTGGTTGCTTGCCGTTTCAAGGGTGGGTCCGGTGTCTCGAATGTGGGGAGTGCTGGATATCAGCATGCTTTCTTTCTTGTGGTGGTATGCAGGTTCCAATGAATGGGGACGAGTATTCACACCGATGGAGTAAGGGACAGGAGACCAGAGTAGTCAGTATCTCTATGCACCCAAATGGGTAGGGTCATTTTTTTCGCTAGTTCCACTCATTTCGCAGACCATGGCTTACTAATAGTGTGACTTTGTAATTGCAATCAAGGTTCTGGAAGGACTATCTGAGAGTTATGATACTCTTCTCGGAATAACTTTTTTAGCTTCGGTTCATGTTTCCATGGCCGGAATGCACCAAAGGGCGAGAACCACTGCCGGTACGAGTACTTGGACTGATATCTCCCCGTGTCATCCCTGTGATATCACTCTACAACTATTTGTATCTTACCGTGCCATGACGGTTCCTTCGCGTAGAATCATCCTGGCCAATCCACTCACTATCATCTCGATAACTAATTACCTGGAGTGTACTGTACTGTACAGTACTGTACAGTACTCGAGTAAGGCTTGACGTTTGTGAGCATGACCGCCATTGCGTATTATAGCGCCAGATTTTGACCTTTCTGCTCGGGTCTGGGCGGCGTAAATTTAATATGCAACAGCGGTATGGTGTTTGCCAGCAAGCAAAGAATCCTCCGTATACTGCCCCCGCATAGCACAACCCCTCATCCAAACCTCCGGGAAGCTCAGCTTCGGGCTCTTATACGAGTATCGTTTCAGCCGCGCGGGTCTTTAACTCGAGTGCCAGCGTCAGCGCTAATGTAGTGGAATGGCCCGACCCGATGCCAAACACTCCCAACCAAAATGACCCACGCGTAGCGAACGGAGCATTCCAAAACATCCCCAATCCTGTGAAACTGTTGGTGGTGAGAGAGAATCGCTACCGGCGCCCTAACTCGCTATCCCAGGAATTACTTTACCTGTACGAGTACTGTACGAGTACTCGAGTAAAGATAAAAATAACAGCTCCTCCGCAGAAAGAGCAATCCCCCGCTGCCCGGGCGCAATTGTCTCACACGGCTTGCATCGTTCCTGCCTTGGACGGCCTGCACTAAGTCCTGGGCTAACTTCATCCCGGTTCGCGCCGAAGATTACGTCTCCCCCGGGTCTGTGCTTGCGGACTAGACTCGGTCTCGGTAAGGGTATATCTTCTCTCCACCATCATCTCCCCCCGCCTCACCTCCTCCGTCCCTCCTACACCCTCCATCGCATCCTACGGTATCTGCAAAAAATCTATCGGTACCCTTACTCCTAGTCCATCCTTAACAGAGATTTCCAATCATGACTCACGGCATCGACACCAAAAGCGTACCCCCCCCCTCCCGTTAACCCTCCTCCACGCGCGCGCAGCTAACCTCTCTCTCTCTCCAGACTTCTCCACCCCCCCAATACCCCCAACCAACCTTCCAACCCCCCCCACCTAATCAAGAATACTACCCACCGCCGCAGGGTGCTTACAATCAACAACCACCACCACCACAACAGTACAACCAGCCGTATCCCCCGCCACAGCAGCCCATGGTCTACCAGATGCCACCGGGCAATGGAAAGGTTAGCTCCGGAGGAACCGCGACGGGTGGAATCTTGGCCGGTCTCTGCGCTGCGATGGCCTGTTGTTGCTGCTTGGATTGTATTTTTTAGAAGGGGTGAAAATAGGGGTGAATTTTCCTTTTTCTCTCGTCTCTTTCTTTTTTCTGCTGCTCTTGACCTTGTTTTTCACGGACGGGGTGTCACGGATGGGAGCACGGGGCGAATGGTGGGTCATTTTTCGCTTCGTGGGAGTGTACCGGTACCTTGCGACTGCTACTTTCTCGTTTATCTCCTTTATAGTATTTCTAATGTCATTCGCCTGATATTTAACTTCACCTTTCTCTACATCTTCCTCCCCGCCATTACCTCCCGTATGTTTCTTTTCAACACTGCCTAGGTCATGTTCGTAGCGAAGGCAATTGTCTCGGCTCATGGGAAAGCCATCCAGCCCAACTCGTCTCTCCCTAGCAACAGGAATTTCTATCGTAGTAATTTCCCGGCTCACACATGTAATAAGCTCCGTTCCTGCGACGTTGAATAGTATTAGATTGTCTTCTTTTTACTAAAGTTTCGTGATGCTGCCGCCATTGTTGTTGTAGCCTGAGACAGCGTGGCGCGAGCTGGCTTTGCCCAGAAAGCTGTGCTCCCTGTGTTTTGTTGGACGTTGGACGGGATTGGCATTAACTTGCTAGTTCACCGCTAATATTTGTCCGAGGAGTGCGCTCAGCACCCCATGAGCCGAAGAGGCAGCGAACAAAGTAATTGCCCCAGACCCGCCACGGCGGCCGAGCTGGGGTGATGTGTGGATTCTCGAGACATGGGATACGGTAGTCTGCTCGAGCGTGTGTAAAGGGAGAAAGGTCGGGGGGGGGGGTCAAACCACCCGCGGGGAGAGAGCGGGTGAGAAGCCGCTTCCCATGTCGGGGCCCCCTGTCCGGGGATTGAGTCGTCTGACGTCGATGGTATCTGAGCGGTTTTTATATTATTTTATTTTCATTTCATTTTATAAAAAGAGGTGAAGATTCAATCCCGGTAATGTACTGTACAGTACTAAAGTTATTTGTAGAAAGACAATTTGAAATAATTGGTTGGGGAAGATTAAAATTACCACTTTTCGACGTTTAGCGGGAAGGAATATAGCTTAGGAATAATTGACCTCCTTCCGTCTCCGAGAGGCGAGTCTTCTCTCATTGAAATGTCTGTGGATCTTTTTTCCTCTTTTTTCTTTGGAGTAGCGATTCCTCAATTTGGCTCTCGGTACCGTGTTCAAGAGCTTTGAACGTCGACGAGTATAAGATTGGAAAATGGCAGTGATGCTAAGCCAAAAGAATGAGCCACGGCCCCAAGGTGCCGGATTTTTCTAGTATTCCGGATTGATCGAGCGGGCTGGTCGAGCATGCCCTCCGCGAGACGAGATCGGGTGTATGTGTGAATGGCAGGGTACCGGTATTTGTCATGTTATATTGAAGAACTATGGCCGAGATGAGTGGTTGGAGATGAGCCTGCAAAGATAGAGATAGAGAGAGGGAGAGGAGGAGACACCTGATTGCTGGGATGTTGAACTGTCTCTGTTCGAACTGAACTGAATTGTTGACTGCTTGAAATGTTGGCACGGACACCCTCCATGGGACACTTACGCCCCCCTGGAAAGAGCCGATGATGCCCGTCCGCAGAGTCTACGGTGTGTGTTCATTCATTGGCGATAGCTCCTCACAGAATCGGTGTCTATTAGGAAATTTCTGTCAATGAATCGCTGGCGATTGGCTGGGGAGGGGCTTGAATGACTAGGCGTATCATAACCCCTGGTTTTTACTTCGGCAAAGACTCGTAGGAATCCCTCACGTTAAAACATACAATGGCTGGACCTCGTGTCTCAGCATCCTCATCACCATGCTTTTGTGTTTGGAGAAAATAACTGCATGCCAGCTGGATTTGGATACTGCAAACAAACACACTTGTTGTTGGAGATGGAACGGTTGGTAGTAGACACTGGTTATGTATGATATTGGATTTATATAATAATATTATTATATTAGTCGTATTTGAATATTAGGGATTGTGGTGAAGCTCGTTTTTTTCTTCAGCATATTATTTCTTCTCTCTCATCCTTTCTTTGACCTTTTCGCTGACTCTCAACTCGATAGAAGATCCCGCATGGTACGCTGTCTTTGTTTTCCGTTGATTATTTTCATACATATCCGCTACCTTGTTCGTTAGATCATGTCAACCTATACTCGCTCTTTTGTCAGTCTTGGATTTCTTAGGGGTTAAATCTGGCCGTTTCGTGGCCACCGCCAGCCTTTGTGGCAGCTACTCACAATACAAACCATGACAGCATCGGTAATTTACAGGCTCTCCAGGGCCACGGCCGGACTGGCCGCCCGTGACCACTGATTACCATTCACCTTCCCTGGTGCTATGAAGAGGGGGCTGAAAGCGCGTCCGTTAAATTTGGCGAGAATGGCAACCCTAACACAATGGTTGGGATCTTGGGATTCAAAGGAACAAGAGCATTTATTGAAAAATCTGTTTTCACAGTTTTAGTCACTCGGGAGCATAATTTCACAAATCTCTAAGGGGAACTTGGGGCACGGAGGAAACAGACCCCTCCAGTAAGGAATTCAAAAAGCTCCAACTGGTTCCACGAATGGGAGTGTTTTTTAATCTATAAAAGGATCAGGATGCTGCGATAATGTTTTATTTATACACATGTCTTTACCGTTAGGTTTGTTTGGGGAGGAATATGGTGAACGAATAGAACGACCCTGTTTAACATACCTCACACATTCACCCTCACGCCCCATAGGTTCCAAGCAAATCCTCCGATTCTACAGTCTCTACTATCACCTGCTGAGCGACCGGTCTTCCACCTTTATCCAAAATTGACAAATTGCGCCATGTAAAAGTAAGCAGTTCCTAACCATGATATATTCCAAGTCATTGCATTTAACTTTACCCTTCAAAAATGGTAATTCTCTCAAAGTAAACACAAGAAATTCTTCCAAATTTTTACCTTCTGATACGATCCATACTCCTGCCAATCAAACCCATTATGCCGCTTACTCTGCTTTCAGAGTGTTGTGATAAATGCTGCGCACTCATTCAGCGAATTGTTCATTTTCTTGCTACCAGTCTCTCTTTATTTATATTGCATGCCCATACACGACTGGTGGGTGTAAGAATATGGAGACTTGATACGGGGATTGTGGTACTGAAGTTTTCTTCATTTGTACGGTTTAACTATTTTACTCTGTTCCAATTTTTTAAAGTGACCCAAGAGGCAAGTTTTGAAAGTATGATATCATATACCCTGTATATATGAGTGAGAACTTTAACCTCTTAGCAACGGTGCAAATTATTTGATTATTGGACTTGTTATATGTTTGTATGGGCTGATGCATAGCCTAAGTTAAGGGGCAATGGGCATTGGATTTTGACCCATGATGTTTGCATTTTATATTTGTTTTATTGTTTACTTTAATATTTGTCCCAAGGTGTTGTTAAATGGGCAGAAATAACCTCATAGTTGATCACGGATGGGGTGTGCGGTACTGGACAAAATATATCCGCAGTTTCAATTTCATACAAAGTTAGTTTTATTGTACTCCGGTTCGTGTTAAACAAACACTCACTTTTACCAGAGAATATGGTGTACCAATTCTACTTTTTATAATGTTATTTGGGGCCGAGTGGAGGTGGTTGGCATTTGATAAATACTGGAGGAATTCAGCGTCTCATGTGATTCGAATCAGTCCCTAGACACCTAGCCACTGACACAGAACAAGCATTTCAAACTGTCGTATGATAGCTCGCTCTCTTGCTCTCAAATGGACGGCAGTGATCCTGCTCTGCCGGTAAACTCACGCAGGGCGCGCAGCTAAATGCGAATGGGTACGTCTATGCTTTGCCATATGCTATCCCGTTAACCTTCATCACAATGATCAAGGATTATGCGTGCCGTCATGTAATCTGGGTTTTGGAAGGTTTTAATGTTTTACCCATGTTTATGCACCTACACTTTACGGTTTTTTTTAAGTCTATCACGTCAGCCTTCAATTTTTACCTTCCGCTCTCTCTGTTCTCACTCAAGTGCGTCGTCAATATCCACTGGATATTGAGTCCGCGTCTTCCTCGAAAGTTGTCAATATAGTGCCGACAGTTAACAAAATTCGTCGAAACGACACAGCCGTGCACCGTGAAACTCCCACTGTAGAATATTCTTGAATCATGATCGACAGGGAAATTTCTTGCTAGTCAGGTAACTAGAATCCAGCCCCACTCCGTCCAGCCCCCACTCCCCCCGCAATAATGATCCCCGGGGTTTTTCATTGTCGTCAAGCAGTTATGAGCCAATTTAGAGTATCTCAATGCATAGCGGAATATACAGTTGCCATGCCAACTAGTCTTTCCATTTACACAACTAAAGCTAATGCCGACATGAGATGTCACTCGGTCCTGCGTAATGAGCCACTGGTTGCGGGAACCGGGACTTACTGTCAATTTACGAGATGTCGTCAAGTGGGCAGGTACGAAGGAGACTCCAAATCTTAATTGAGGAGAGATGAGGTGATTTTCCAAATTGTGAATTCCTCCATAGAAAGCCTCCAACCTCTATTTGTGATTGTGCGGCCGTCGCACGGCATTTCCATGAAGGATATCCAAGACCCCTCGTGGTTACTCCTCAACAACAACCTCCTACACATAATCCTCCCCGTATGCTATCATACTAGAGCTCCATGTTTGGGATACCTGTCCAACCACCCCCCGGACCCCTAGAAGTCAGTCACGGGATCCCGCTTGTGAACATATGCGGAAGCTCATTAATCAGCACTTCCGGCTACACGGAATCCTTTTAAACAAGAGCTCACCACCCTACACTCAGCTTTTCTGGTGCTGGATACATTTTTTCTCTTTTTATGTTATATCTCACCTGGAATTCAGTGGAACGGTATTGGTGGAGCGCGAGAGGGTATTGCGACGGAGCACAGCGAACTCCCGCAGAACACTCTGGATATGGGTAGGTGCCTCCCCCGAAAACCTCAGCTTTTCCACAAGAATAAGAATGTTTACCAGCTGTAAGGGCCCCGGCTCAGAACAAAAGGACAGAATCGCTTCCTGGCTACCTGAGATTTCTCGATTGTGCCGGGATTGTCGGCACATGACGGGGGGAGGGAGAGCAGGATCACGAGGGGCAAACCAAGGATCTTAAGGTTCGAGAATATTCACGGGGTTGATAGAGGGGTTTGTGGTTGCTAGGGTACGGATGATAAACCAGGCCTGGGAACTTTAAACAGGGACTTTTTAAAAGGAGAACGACGAAAATGGCGAAACTGCCCTAACGAAATGAGAGGAGGATTGGTAACACGACGGAAAAACTGTGACCCCCGGGAAACAATTTTGCAGGGAGCAGGGGGGTTTGCTCCTTTTCTTGTCATGCAACTTTCTCTCCAAAGTGTCGCCCAACACAAATAACTATCCATAAACTAAATGGTAAAGTCAGGGGCATCTAGGTCAAAACGAAGTCATTCTTCTACCCTATTGTGGCGCACCACACTTATCCGTTCGTTACCACACATACCCCCTTCTTTGCGTTCTCCCTTCCTAACAAAAGGAGTACAAGCTAAAGAAATCCACTGTTTTTCGCATCAGCATAGTCCCCGTTCCATCCCTTTGATGGTCACCCGCTAGGCCCTCTAGGAACATGATTTTCTTCCGGTGGATACTTGTTTTCCCTACGTGGATGTGCTATTCCGAGGTGCATCTCGGAAACCCTTACCCGACCAAGCAAATCAATAACCTGAGCATGTCGGCCGGAATCCAGCATCTCCGGCGGAGGATAATATCCAACGCTTCTGGTCCCGCCCCCCCCCCCACCAGTCACCACTGGATGACATGGATGCTCAGGCAGCATAGCGAGGGCAGAGATGGTCAGGGCCGCAGAGCCTATCTCCATATATCTTTGCCCAGGGTCGCCAACTTGTAACTTTGCTTGCTACCCTGTCAGGGGGCATGGTGACGCTCCAGCGAAATTGTTAGTTCATTCCTGAGTCTCACAGGAAAATGCAGTTAGCAGGTCTAATAATGAATATATCATACAGGGCTAACAGAAATGTCAAAAAACCACCGAGAGTCAACTCCCCCGACTTCTTGCATCCTAATACCCATTTCTGAGGAAAACCGTCATGAGGAAGAGAAGGGCACATGAATACCAAAAATCACTATTGCCTCGAGCTCACAAATGTAATGGGCCGACCAGAACCGACCCCACCAGCCACTAGAGATATTTAATCTATTTCTGTGCTAGCTGTATATTTGAGTGTTGACTGCGAATGTTGGTATATCATACACTCTGATTCGCCAATTGGCTATCTAGGACAAGAGTGCTGGGTCCTGGACGGACAAGGTCGGCTAACCGGGCTTGTACAGACCTCCGATGGGTTTTCTAGCCGGATAGGATGTGGCAATCTGTAACCCCTTGCTGCCTCTCGGGGAATGCTAGAATGAGGTCAGTGTTATACCTCATCCCACCTATATAGGGATTGATGTTCCTCTGGATCATTGCTGTATCCTCTCTGTTCCTTCAAAAACTTATATTCAAGGGAGTACTACAATATTTGGGTCCGGTATTGACATCCCCGCCTTACACCAATAGCCCCTCAACTACCGTCAGATGAACGAAACTTCTGTTAGAAATCTTTTAATACACTTTTCCATATTACAGCGGAAGCTCTAATTGCTCTATCTGATGATCCTGTGAACCTCTAAAGCGGTCTGCACAATGGGGGACGGCATAATTGGGAACTGCATAGAGCATCTCAGAATAACTGCTGATCGCCTCCAGTACAACAGCCCCGGATGTATCAATGACTGTCTGGTCTTTTTCGAGTTTACTAGGGGAGGGCGGGAGAAGAAAATGTCGGCTATCGTGAAGCGGAAATCTGGGAACGTGGGGTATTCTGGTAATCCCTCTGACGGGCCAATGTCCCTTTAATCAGGAACTCCCTCGTGGTTTGGTGAACCGGGTCGATCCCAAAACCACTAATACAAACAAAAAGTTCGCACAAACCTTTCAGCGTCCTTCCAAATCAAAGGGTAGAAGTCCGTCAAGCTAAACTTGCACGGTAGGGGGGGATGAGAATGAATTGCGGTCTGGAGCCGGGCGCACTATTCTTCAAGATGTCAAGGACGGGAGAAACCTGGGGTAGTGTCCTATCTGGAGACGATACGGGGCGATCGAGCGAATATTCCAGACCTCCATAGTTTACCCAGGCTAATTCAAACCTCTTGGTGAGCACCTGTGAACCGGATAACATCAGCAGTAATCGGGTTAACTCCGGCCTCACCTTTCAATCGGATCGTCGTTTCCTGTGGACAAGGTTCAATCTTCGCTACCATCATAATCAAAATATCCCATAGTGCATCCACCTCAGTAGTAAACCGTTTGCCTTTAACCTTAGAGGCTTGCTTGGCGTATCTGCAAAGGGAGCTTTTCTCCACAAAAGGTTGATGGGGTATTGCGCAAAGCGCAAATGTTTTGCTTCAATCTTCCTCGCCGTCGCTATTAATGAATAAATTGGAAAAAATGGCATCCACTCAGACTTTAAGATGAGTTGCGGGGGAGGAAGCGATGGCGGATCTACGGCAACCCGGATCTGCCGATAACCAGAGGATACCAGACCTGTTCTTTTCTAACCAGCCATAATACTCTGGATGTTCGGTAACGCAAGTACACGTTTCCTCGGCTCTCTCCAAAATCCAGCCCTAGTGCTCCTCATACGCAGTTGTGTACGAGTATGGGGAATGAAAATTTTCCGTGAAGTGCCCACACGAGTCCGTCCCCCCCTCATTGTAATGGGAACTGCTATTGATGGTGTTGCCGTGGTTGTAGTTATTATTAGAATGACCTGTGCCGCTATACTGTATTCTCCCAGACCATGGTGTCCGACCGGGAATAGAACTATAGCAAATGGCATTAGTAGATAGAAGAGTAAACAAACACAAGCGATACTACAGGAGCGTACCGTTGCGATGAGAGAGAGACCTGAAGAGCGAGACCTGAAGAGCGGCGCTTGAGAGTAGATTTCCCACCTTATCGATCGATCGTTGAATTGAATTATAGGTTTTGTTTTATCGACAGCGGGATCGAATGGGTTCTTTGAGGGAGAATGGCGGAGGCAGGGGGTCCAGGAGCGTGGAGGCTACCATCTTCTCGGGGGCACAAAACCGTGTTCTTCTCCGGCGGAGAAGCTATCATACCCCACACTGCCCCACACTGGTCTATGATATAGTGCATGCATTATCGGGACCCGGCACGGGCAACCTTTCAGCTAACTACTCGGGTTGTAGATATTGCATATTCCTCAATCCCCGCAAGATCTATATTTACTCCAGTACCCACCCTACCGCATCGGGATACCCATATAAGCCATGGTTTTTGATTGGGAGGACCTATAATACGACTATGGCTTTCTTCAGGACGCGTGGGTTGAGTTTGGCTTGGTTTTAGGGGGACCACTTATACATGCTTATTCTGAATCACTTAGCTGTTTCTCCGTCAAGCACCGTCGTGTGCGGCACCGTGCAGCCACACCGGTAAAGTTTCCACACCCTTCCAAGTATTACTGGGCCTTGAGAACGCTGCACTTACGCCCTCTTTCTCGCTTTTCAGAGAAGCAATTCGCGACAATGGTTTACAATCTCCATACAGGCATATCGGGAAACAGTTACCAAAAAAGATGTTGCTGTATCCTACCGCTAATCGGTATTCATGAGGTATTAGGAAGCGTTTTTGTCTTCACTCGCACCCCACAGCTGCTGCCCTCGCATTCCGTGGCCATCTCCCACAAGTTCCGTTCTATAGAGACGCGATTCCCCGAGGCGAACTAGGGCTTTTCTCGATTACTAGACGAAGTGCAGGAGGAAGGATCTGCAAGATAATGTGGGGTAGTTGGGAGACAGGTTGCGCCGCTGGAAAAGTCCTCCCCCTGGGGAAAGAGTTGGAGCCCATCGCTACATATCCCATCCCCACCCACATGTATCCAAGCAGGAGCCCCTTAAAGGTTTCACCCCAGAAATCCCCATTTCCTCTCCCCTAGCCTTATTTGGGTCTTATATCATCAGATTCTTAATAAAATTCACACAAACTATCAGATAGTGCAACAGCGCTCTTTAATGGCGTCCTCCGTTGCGCATCTTGTTCCTTTCGTGCGAGTCGATCATTGATTCGCTCCCTCATCCGGCCATCAAGCGTTTTCCATCCTACCATTTTCTACTCGAGTACGGCACCCGGGAAGGAAAGTGGGTTCCAGACTCGGTAGGACAAGATACCCCGGATTTCTTTCCCACGCACGGATGTTGGGCCTAGCGCTTGGCTTCGCTATTTAAGCTATCCGTTTGTGCGTTTCCTGAGCTATACTCTATTCGCACTAAGGCACCGTTAGGATCGGGATAGGTTTCCAATATTTCTAGCGAGGTAATAAGACCGAGAAATTTCACCTCCCCGTCAAAGACTAACTTAAGCTAGGTATCCGTCTCGGAGGCGTCAGTCACGCCGAATCGTACCCGTAACATAGCCGGAGTAAAGCCTGAACGGACTTCGAACCTAACAGAGATAAAGGTGCCCGCTGCTAGAACCTAGTCTCCACCTTCGGGATCGGCTAATTCTGTAGCAATGGCAGAGGTTATGTCACAACCGGGTATAAATGTCGATGAACATCTCTCATACCACATGAGGGCGAATCAAATCCTCCCGAACAATTCCCTTTCACTCTTGAGAAGACCCTGTTACCGCGCCCCTTGTCATTCCCCGGAATTGTTGAGCAGATATTTTTCTCAAGAATGAGATAATAGCTAGCCATCACTCGCTAAAGGATGGATGGGTTGCGGCTGCCAGTCGGGTTGGAGGGGCCGGCGGAGGAGGAATACACGATGGCTGGGACTGTGGTCCGGTTGTAGGCTTGGCTGTGGAGTTTGTTGTAAAGCTGATGGAGATGTGCTCAGCATAGGGCAGAGACTACCAATGGATGGTTCGAGGAATAGCGATTGAAGGCGGAGGGTACCAAGCGGTGGGCCTTCCATCACCCACTTGCTGAGGTATCAAACGACATACAGTTTGATACAACCTCCTATAAAACCCCATCCTCGCCGCTCAAGTTCACTTCCCATTCCGATATCATACACTACCTTCTTTATCACCATCACACCCGCTCATTACAACAGCCCCATTCGTTCCAAAATGCACGCTTCAGCTCTCCTTCTCATCGCCTTGAGCGCTCTCACTGCGAGCGCTGCGCCCGCCCCAGCTCCTGAAAAAGGCGGCCATGTTGAGAGCTACGGCCACCATGACAAGGAGGCCCATCACTACTACCACCCGGACCACTGGGACGACAAGAGCTGCCACCACGACAAGGACGTCTCGTACGGAAAGGGCTATGGGCACGACGACGACGATTACGGCAAAGGCAAGGGTGGCGGCGGTGGCTACGGCAAGGGCTACGGCTACGGCGGGGGTGGTTACGGCAAGGGCGAGGGCGAGGAACACAAGAAGTACGAGAGCGACAAGCATAAGCAAAAGAATGACAGTTATGCCAAAAAGTATGAGGAGAAGGACGACGAGCTCTACAAGAAGGAGAAGGAGAAGGATAAGAAGGAGGAATGCAAGGAGTGCAATGAGTGCGATGAGTCTAAGGATGAAAAGGTCCATGATGAGGAATGCTGCTATGAGGAGGGATACGGTATTTCCTTATTCCCCCCTCTCGGTTGATTTAGCGTTGGCTGATGTGTGGATGGGCGGATAGGATTCGATAAGGGGTGCAAGTACGACAAATGCTACGGCTACTGCCGCGACCTAAACAAGAAGTACCACGAGGACGAGCACAAGAAGGACAAGAAGGCGGCCGCAAAGGACTACAGCCTTTGCAAGGAGGAGGATGATTACAAGAAATGCGAGGACAAAGAGAAAGTCGAGAAGTGTGAGGAGTGCGAGAAGTGCGACCAGGACAAGCAGTGTGAGAAATGC